ATTGTTCGGTAGAGAAAACTATAAAAAGTATAACATGTATGTATGTATGTATGTATGTATTTATTTATTTATTTATTTGAGAGTGTGAGCGGGGGGGGGCGAGGGGGGAGAGAAAGAATCTTAAGCAGGCTCCACCCCCCAGTATGGAGTCCATGCGGGGCTCAGTCTCCCACGACTGTGAGAGCATAACCTGAGCCCAAATCAAGAGTCAGATGCTTAACTAACCGAGCCACCCAGGCGCCCCCATATTTTTATTTTTATTGAGGTATCATAAACCACTGTAGAGTTTAAAAAATCTTCTACAGAGCGAATTTATATATCCCTAAATATGTAGCCACTCAAGGTTTAGAGCAAGGGTTGGCAAAATTTCCGTCAAGGACCAGGTAGTAAAAATGTCTTGTGGGCCGCACGATGCGTAAATGAGTGGACACGGGTGTATTCCAATAAAACATTGTTTAAGGAGGGGCGCCTGGGTGGCACAGTCGGTTAAGCGTCCGACTTCAGCCAGGTCACGATCTCGCGGTCCGTGAGTTCGAGCCCCGTGTCGGGCTCTGGGCTGATGGCTCAGAGCCTGGAGCCTGTTGCCGATTCTGTGTCTCCCTCTCTCTCTGCCCCTCACCCGTTCATGCTCTGTCTCTCTCTGTCCCAAAAATAAATAAACGTTGAAAACAACAACAACAACAAAAAAACCATTGTTTAAGGAAACAGGCAGTGGGCAGGATTTAGCCATGGACCATAGTTTGCCAACCATAATACAGAACATTTCCGGCATTCCAAAAGCTTCTCTCGTGTCCCTTCCCTGAGAGGTAACCACCATTCTTACTTCTATCTCTATGGTTCAGTTTTACCTAACACCTGTATAGTGCACTTCAGTGTATGTTTTACTTCATAATTTAATGGAAAGTGTTGTTTAATAAAAAGTAGTAGTATCGTACAACTGTGTTATTTTAGAGCCAGTTAGAAATATCATGCAGTGTCATGACTCCCAATTGATAGAAGGCTGAGTAGAGTCAGGCTGGAGGCAGACCCAGGTTTTGATGTGGTTGGCCTCAAACATCAAAGTCTCTCCCCTAAAGTTTGTCCAGCTTCTTGAATGGGTGAGTAGGTTAAAAAATTTTCATCAAACTTGGGGAAGTTTTCAGCCATTAATTTTTAAAGTATTTCTTTCTGTCCCTTTTCTCTTTCCTCTCCTGATGCTCCCATTATACCTATGTTGGTTCTCAACATTGTCTCACGTTGCTCTGAGGTTCTGTTAATTTTTCCTCATTTGCCCCATTTTTCAAATTTCATAATGTCTGTTGATCTATCTTCAAGTTCACTGATTTTTTTTTTCTTCTCTCAACTCAAATGTAGTGTTGATCCCCTCTAGTGAATTTTCCATTTTGGTTATTATACTTTTCAACTCCAGAATTTCCATTTGATTTTTAAATAATGTTTATCTCTTTATTGGCGTTCTCTGATGAGAGTTGTTATTATATATGTTCCTTCAGTTTTTTGAACATGTTTATATGTTTGGCCAGCATTTGGTTCGAGGTTTCTGCGTAAGCCCTTTGAGCTAATAAGATGCTCTTTGCTGATGATCTGTGTGTGACTTGGAGAATGCTTTCAATGGTCTTTGGGTCCCGCTCTGTTTGATCCAGAGTGGGTAAAACCCACGGGGTACATGCCCATGGTCTTCTGGACCCCCACACTGTTTGCTCCGGAGTGGGTACAATCCACGGGGTACATGCCTATGGTCTTCCAGAACCCTAGGGGTAAGTGGGATCCCAGGAGGGCTCTCCCTACCTGTCTCTTTCCCTGGTTCTCTCCATTAAACTCCTGGCTCATCTGCCATTTTGCTTTTTGCTGCTAGTATCCTATACCTACCATCCCCCCTCAGTCAGTTGCCACCAAGATCCCCATTGTTTCTGATAGTCCCCTTAGGCACAGATTCCTCCATTCTTGGTACCAAATAGTCCCTTCCTGCAGAGCTGCGGAGCTACTAGTTCCCAAAGCTGCCACTTACACCCACACCTCGGGGCTGGACGGTGTCTGGCTTCACCTCTATGAGTAGGTGCTCGATAGAGAGGACCGGTATCCTTAGCGGAACATACCAACATCATCCTAATAAATGTCTTCACACAATCCTCCTCCTAGGAGTAGCCTCTGGTCTTCTCAGACTGCCCGTCTTAACATGGAGCCTCCACCTTGTGGGCAGGCTGGAGCAGGAGTGATGGGAATCCCAGGATTGTCAGACTGTCATGCCTGGGGCACAGCCCTAGAACAGTAGAAGCCTTTACCTTCTTGGCTGCACTTGCCCAGAGTAGAGCTTTTGTCACATGAAACTGGGGGCAGGGGTGCGGTGGGATCAGTCCGTGGTCAAATGCTGTAGACTCTCACTCTTCTTACTATAACCTATAGATTTCCCTGCATGTTTCTCCACTTGCTGCTCACCTTTAGGGTAATTTTCCAAGAGTGGAAGGTATTTATTTGGTACACACACACGCACATAGTTCTCCCAATTACATGGTTACACTGGGAAGAGAGTCCCTGAGCTCTGCACACCACCATCCCGAAAATCCCAACCTTTGAGCCTTGGCTGGGCTACTCAGAGTCTAGCCTCTGCATGTGATTTAGCTGTCAGCCAGAGATTGGTAGGGATTTCATGAGAACTCGGGGTTCTTTTTCATACCATTTTTCACTCTTACCTCCCAGAGACAGTTTGTGCCAAGCTCTGGCCTTTGGGTCTTCAAGCCAGTAAGACCGTAGGTTCTCTAACAGAGTTTTAGCTCCCCTTTGGGACCCGCCCCTCGGTAAAAGCCATGCCCACCGCCATTCTCTTCTTCAGGTATCTGCTCCCCTCCCAAGTGTTCCTGCTTTGGGTCGTGCACCAGGGTTTTCGAAGATTTTTAAATATTTTTGTCCAGAAGGTTATTGGAGCCCAACAGGAGCTCCTTACTAGAAGTAGAACCTCCCCTACCATTAATTTAAGGTTGGGCGCGTCCAGTGTCTCTGTTGGTCTAATGAGGAACAGGTAAGCTGCTCCACAATGAGATTCGCAAAGCTTTTACCTTTTTATTTTGAACTTTGTTATTTTTGTTTCAAAAGGCACACTTGCAGGAACGTTTTCACTTTTATCCCATGAAGTAGGAGGAGGCAAAACGACTCGCGAGTCGTGGAGTCCTCAGATGGCCTGTCTCAGACATTTCTCACGTGCACTGGCACTCAGGTTAAGGGACGGACTTCACACATGCTAGCATGGGTGGGACTTGATTTCCACCAGAGTTTTCTGTTGCATGGCCTATCGTTTTATGGTACCGTGCTCAGAAAACTAAGGACAAAAATCACTAGTGTTACCATTCTGTAAAGAGAAATACACATTGCCGTGTCTCATAAATTGGCTCAGTGCTTTCCGGTCGTATACCATGCTTTCACAGATGGTTTTACAGACAAATGCCAAACTAGGAGCTCATATCTTTATAGCCACAATTCTCTCTCTCTCCTTTCCCCCCTTTCAGAAACACCGAAGGCTTCCAAAGCATGCCCTAAATTGCTAGGGTGTTGGGAATACCCAGATGAACAAGAGGTCATCTCTGGCCTCAAGGTGCTTGTATCCTTTTGAAATCCTTCACTTCATGAACGAGAAGGCGAGTCAAGGTAGGATATGGACCCATGGCATTGGGAAAGAACTCAGCTCTGTTAGTAAAAGTGACCCCAATGGGGCACGTGGGTGGCTCAGTCGGTTAAGTGGCCGACTCTTGAATTTCAGCTCAGGTCACGATCTCACAGCTCGTGAGTTCGAGCCCCGCATCGGGCTCTGTGCTCGCAGTGCAGAGCCTGCTTGGGATTCTCTCTCCTCCTCTCTCTGCCCCTCCCCTGCTCTCTCTCTGTCTCAAAAATAAAAATGTTAAAAATTTTTAAAAAGAAAGAAAGGAAGGAAGGAAGAAGAAAGAAGAAAGAAAAAGAAAAGAAAAAAGAAAGAAAAACCCAAATGGGCACCTGTGTGGCTCAGTCAGTTAAGTGTCTGATTCTTGATTTCGTCCCAGGCCATGATCTCACTGTTTGTGAGTTTGAGCCCCTCCTCTGGCTCTGTGTTGACAGTGTGGAGCCTGCTTGGGATTCTCGTTCTCTCCCTCTCCCTCTCTGCCCCTCATGCTCACTCTCTTTCAAAAGTAAACAAACTTGAAAAGAGTCCCTCCCTTTACTGCTTGCATCCTGTCTCTCTTTCTCTAAAAAGAAAAAGTGACTCCCCCCCCACCCCCCAACTGCCTTCACTGTCATTTTCTGCTGCTCATATTCTGGAGTTTATGCTGCTGCATCCAATGCAGAGCAAGAGAATGTGGGAGAGAGGCACAAAGAGAAGGTAGCAAGAGAGAGGCTGTGCTGCTGACTGAAGGCCTTCTTTGCACTGAAAGGTGTGATGTAATTTCAGTGAACGCTGACCCAGCCCGTCTGAACGTGCACTTCATACAGCGATCAGCGGAACATACGATAAAGCGTTTTATACCGCGGTGCTCAGAACTTCAGTGTTTAATCATTGTTTCACACGCTGTGTGGCCATTTTGTTCTGGATAACTTTATTGTAAGCTGTATAATCTTGCTTTAGGGCTTACGTGACAGGAAGTTACATACTTGTAAATACCTACTCTGCATTATCTCGTGTGGTTTGGGACACTCGAGTTCGTGACATGTTAATTGCACTTAAAAATTAAATACGCAGTGAAAGAAAGATACATTTACAAAGCTGTCATTCGAAAGGATTTTTGCACTTGGATTTGCCTTGCTTGATTACAAAACTCCAAAACCAGCTTCCCACCGAGGGTTTACACAGGGGTTTCCTCCTTCCCTGGGACTGAACTAGTACAAAGGATTAAAGGGTTTAAACAAACGTGGATATCACTGAGAAAAGCACAAGAGGAGAGTCTCAACGCGGCCGGTGGAGACCAGACGCAATACTGCCTGGCTGAGAAGGAGAGCGTACATAAATCCGTGAGTGTCGCCAGCAGCCAGCGGTGTGGACTTCAGATGTCTTTCCCACAGTCCGGGCACAGGATGTCGTCTCTCTCTGTGAGGAAGCCTCGCCCCACCAGGGAGAGGGAGCACTTCTTGCAGTTGAAACAGTCGTTGTGCCACTGTCGCTCCTCAAAGGAGATGTACTTTGTGCCACCCAGTCCTGTGAACAGACAAGAAAGAACACCGGGGGCGGGGGGTCGGGGGAGGACATTGCTGGTCAGAACCAGGCTCCTGGCCCTGCGGGAGGAATTCTGGTTTGCTCCCGTCTCAAAGCTGGATTGTGCAGTCCGGGGAGCGGGGAGTGCGAGTTCTAACGACTGGGTGCCGGGGGTCCACGTGGGAATCAGACACCCCGCACAGCCTTGAGGGGTTCACACACCTCAGCAGGAGCAGGCACATAAACTGGCTCCACATCTGTGTGATCGGTGCTATACTTACGAAGAGCCCACTGTGTGTGTGTGTGTGTGTGTGTGTGTGTGTGTTCGTCCCATCGGAAGGGAACTCCAGGAGACCGGTCGCTGGTTTCTCTTGTTCCTTCGCTGGGTGCCTCCTGCCTGGAGCTCAAATAGTCTGTGATTTGATGAATGAAGTGCTGAAGGGTAGGGGGAGAAGGGGCATAGGCTAATTTTCTCTGGAATGGCCAGGAAAGGCCTCACAAAAGAAACGGTATGTGGTAGGTGGGTGTGGACATTTCTTGCGGCGGGAATGTCAGGAGACAAGCTACGGCAGCGTGAACTTCGGTGTGAGAGGTGGAAGGTGGGCTGCTAAGGTGGGGGGGGGGCACATTATGATGTGTGGGCAGTAAACCATCTGATACTTTAAGCAAGAAAAGTGGTAAGTCAGTTCGGCGCTTGACTCTTGTTTGAGGACTGCTTCTTATCAAATGTTTTAGGTACACTGGCCACCTATTAAAATACTGTCACTCTGTGCTGTCACTGAGCCACCTGGAATAAAATGGAATGAAATACACAGGGTCATTCACAGTTGTGATCGAGGGGCACCTGGGTGGCTCGGTCAGTTAAGCATCTGACTCCTGGTTTTTGCTCAGGTCATGATCTCACAGTTCGTGAGTTCAACCCCCACGTTGGGTTCTGTGCTGATAGTGCGGAGCCTGCTTGAGATTCTCTCTCTCTCCCTCTGCTTCTGCCTCTCTCTTTCTCTCTCTCAAAATAAATAAACTTAAAAAAAAAAA